TTCTTTGCAACCTTTCTGCGACCTATAACTTTCTCAGAGAGCACTGTTGTTGACGATAGTAGGTAAAGCAATGTTGAGTTATTTTTCAGTACCATTGAGTATTGTCTCTAGTAATGTATTGTAGATTTCTAAGGCCTTATCGAATTTACCCATATTAATCATCAGTCCAGCCAGAAGCATCCATCGATTACCATCATTAATCTCATTTCGTATAAATTCAGTCACATTTTTTAATTGCTGATCATTATTACTAGTTAACGTCAAATCAATTTGCCATAATCGATTTTCTATTTCTCTCATCGAACCGATTCGAAAGATGGTATGCATTGAGAAAAGAATTTCTTGATCAAAATTTGAGTAAAAACTAATGTCGTCTAATGCAGTAAATGGAACTGATGAAAAAGATGGATAAATTTTCATGCGAAATAAGATTCCCGTCAAATCAGAATCGTCTCGAGCACTATTGCCAAATGCAAATGAGATCTCTCGATCAATACTTGTCGACAAGAAATTGTTAAATGAGAGAAGACCTCCTTCACTCTTCTTGAGCTTTTCAAATTCAACATTTGACATTCCTTGTCTTCGATAAATGATCATTTTCTCTGTTTGCTGTGTTTGGAAATAGATTTGTTCTATTTGTCGATGAAGATCTTGAACGAAGGAATCCATTTTGATAATCATTTCGATGTCTTGCTTTCTCAAAGCTTGATTGAGTATTGTATAGATAATTGGTTCTTTTGTATACCACCAAATAGACGAATGACAATCATAGTTACTCTCAAAGTCATTAATTATTTTCAATCGAATATCATTATTAGAAAATTGTTCACGACAAACATTGACGAATTCAATTTTAGCCTTTTCATTGTATTCAATATCAAAAATGATTTCGTTCAGTAATTTTGAATACATAAATGACTGATCAAGTTGGTCAAAATTCGCAATTGAACTGGTAGAAAGAATACTACATGATGTGTAATCAGTTATAAATTGATGAATATTACGTTTCAAACTAGAACAAATCATATCCATTTTAGCGAATAATCCTTTCACTTTTGTATGCTCGCTTGTCCATTGTTGTGATTGTGTTTGATGTTTATTAAATATGTAGATCGAATGAAGTGAACCTATGTGTTCGATTAGAGATACAAATCATTCACCAAGATCATTCGAAATAATCATGAATACATGCATCTGTATCAGTAAATATTTTGACTGTATTGATAATGTGTTGAAGCTTATTTATCGATATACTTGTGTTTTCATCGGATACATTTATATTGGAATCCAGCCAGATAACAAGAAAATTTTCAACAGGACGAAATCGTGTAAATCGCGGCCAAGTAGACTTTCTTTTTTCTATTAATTTGACATTATTATCTATATTGACTTGATCAACACTGTGATCCGATAATTTGGACATGGATTTCAACTACTCAGATGATATTATAATGACAATCGTCACAGCTCAGTTAATTGTGTTTGTGTAAATACTTTACTTCGATACATAATCATGTGGTCATTTCTTTCCAGTCACGACACAAAAAAAAACAGTTCTCAATTATTCTGTTGGAAGAAAGAAAAATTATAAGTAAGCAATGTATTGATCATATGACCATAGTATTTTTTTGTTTCGGCTGTACCCATTCATTTACGCTCACATGTTCCTTTTTGTTCCTCTCACGTGACGATTTTTTTTCATGATACATTGGGATTTTCTATCTAGCCTTGCCTCTTTCCAAGATCGAATAAGCAAAGTTGCAAGCTACTGTACTCAGCATAACCATACTCTAAATGATCATTTTCCACTGTTTCGTTGACGTTCGAGTTCTCTGATGATTTTTTTCCAATAAAAACCTAATTAAATCGATTATTCATTTCATTAATAATATATTTTCATCGATTAAAGTGGTTCAATGTTTATTTAATTCAGTAACATTTTCAGTAGATTACAATTCGGTTTAAATCTTTACTTTTTAGAAGGTCGACCCGTGTCGGTATAGACATTTCCTCTTTGTTTTCATCCACATCCACAAAACATTTAATCAGAGTGCACGTTTTTTTTTCTATACACAAAGATCGACGAAAAGACCCATATATATGTTACTATTTTATAACAACAAATTGAAATAATTAAGAGAGATTTTCAAGACCCTCATGTATCATTCCCAGCTACGAGACAATAGGTAAAATAATTTTTTTTGTCTTTTTTGCTTACTCACCACTTCAATGTCCCAAATCACCAACCCCAAAAATTTCAGCTTATGATACTCTTCTTTTGAAAAGTTAGCCAAGGTCGACTTTTAGGGTGAGTGTGGAGTAGTGCCCGGCGTGACCACAAAAAAAAGATTGTTCGATTGTAATTTTCATGTTGAATATGACGAAAATACTTTTGATTTGACCCTTTGTATTCATAATTTTCTTCTCTTCAAAATGATGTACAAAACTTAAGGATACAATGATCTATACAAGAGAAAACAACGACACGTTTGTCGTGATCAGTTCTAGTCACGATCAGTGACGGAAATTTCTGGTCACGACAAATATGTCGTTGTTTTCTCTCGTATAGATCATTGTATCCTTAAGTTTTGTACATCATTTTGAAGAGAAGAAAATTATGAATACAAAGGGTCAAATCAAAAAGTATTTTCGTCATATTCAATATGAAAATTACAATCGAACAATCTTTTTTCTGTGGTCACGCCGGGCACTAGAATAGAGTGATCTAATGTTTTATTCACAATATAAAATAAATAAGGACTAAAGAATTAAAGATAATGTTCAAGTAGATTCTGAGAGATTCTATAAAATTTCGCTGCATTGTAAAACTTTCTTCTGGATAGACAATTTAATCATATGAGCAATCGATCTAGCATCATCAACTATATAATTTTGTTTTTCTATCAACGGTGCTGACGAGTTATTATTTGGATTTTACCTCAATAAATTGGAAAGCGTTATATTTTCGAAATCTCTTCCTATTGAAATAAAGAGCAATATAAACTGTAATTGTTTTCTTTGTACTCATAGCAGAAGAATAGGTAATACACGGGCAAATTGTATTTCGATGAAAAATGAATTCAATCTAACTGTGTTAATTTACCATAGTGGGAGAAAAGATTTTTGAAGAATTTCTCGAAAGCCATTCCGACAGTGGAAACTTTTTATATAGTCTACCACGTCTGTCTTAGCAGCGTCACAGTAGCCTTATCTTTTCTATGACAGCGAGTAAGGGATAAATGGTTTTAATGAAGTAAGAGTTGATGATAATCAATTATCTGGTGATGCAATGCAACAAATATAAACATATTTTGAAAAAAACTAGATGTGCAATATTAATTTATGGAATGTATCAAATGTGATACAAGAGCAAGCAACATTTGTTACACTTATATTCTTTCTTTTTCAAAAGTTTTGATAAAAGAATGAACAGTAATATCTATCGAAATCCTCCCAGTATATGATCTTTCATCAAATTTTTGCAAGATGAAGAAAAAAAAATTTCGAACAGTAACTATACAACATTGTCTGAAAATATTGTATAATCGACAAGATAATAACCTTTATGATGAATCGAATCCTTTTTTCTGATCTATCCTATATAATTGCCAAAAAAGTAAAATAGAAATGCATCCAAGTAATAGTAGTTGATATATTCATTTATCTATGTTATTTCACTATACATTACAAAAAAAAATGTCTTTTCCATTATTTTACTCATACGTCGTATTTTCAACCAAACTCAAGTATATTGTATGACTGCCTTAGATATGTTTTTAAGTACTATATCGACTTGTGTAGATTTACTTTAATATCGGTATCAACGAAGAAAATTTGGAGGCATTCACACGTTGAAATACCAAATTGTAATATTACCTTTTTGTCCAATTGTTTTCAGAATTATAGACATGATTAAACTAATTGCTCCAAATAAGAAATAGCTGGATAGTTTGTGCTTTTCAGATAAAAATCACATGTCGATTTAGTTTATATCACATATTTAAATCTTCTGTATGATTTAATAGAATTGTCTCAAGTCTACTCTTGGTTATTCTAGATGAGATGTAACAATGATAATGGTTGCAAGATCGACTACATTATACATGATTGATCGATTACTAGCTAAGGGGTTATCCATAAAGCAATGTTCAGGGAAAGGGAACGGAAGATTCGCAAAACCTGGACAAATATTTCTGGACATCCAGACACTTACTATGGATATTTTCCTTTTTTTTCCACACAGTTTCTCGCGACATTTTGAAGTTTACTTTGTTTTGAACTGTATTATTAAATATGAAATAAACTAAATGAATCAGTTGAGTATGAATATGATGTTGAAATAATTGAAGATTATTTCCTATGTACAGCGAATTATTTTCTCTATCAGTAATATGAATGTTGGTATATTTTTGAGTGCCGACTGAACTGTCATTTAATAAAAAGGAAGCAATAAATTTGAACCGGCAGGCTCTTTATGGAAAGTTGTTTTTAATACGGAACATCCAGCGGGTGCGAAGAATTGATGAAACTGAACTAATTTGAGTCGAAGAGAAAATACAAAATATGATTTTGACATGAACATTCTTTGTGGATGACCTCTAACCAGTTTATTGGAAGTTGTAACTTCGATACGTCCTATGTAAGAAAATATCTGTCGAACAAGATGTGGCAACATTTTTTTGCAAATATTTTTAATATCATTAAATATAAAAAGGCATACAAAAATTGCCTGTTTTTTTGTACAAGAAACAAAGAAATAGCTATTGAACCATTACGAAGTAAAATGATATCAATTGCAACAATTACAGTAGTGTCAGCACAAGTATCAAAATTGAATTAGTAGTAATGAAGTGTCGTTGAAACAACAACAAAAAACAGCTATAAGATATTTTTTCATCATCATGATAAACCGATCGATATAATTACTTCGGCTCTCATCTACTAATTAGATGAATATTATCTTGACAAACAAAAAAAAACATTCTTATTCAATCACAATTAAACTTATATTAAACAATATTGTTAATCAATTTTGTTAAGCGATTCTTTTGACAATTGAATCTAAACGTTTCCAGTCGAATTTTATCGTTAATGACTATAGAACACACTACATAGCAAACGATATGCGTACATACTTCTGTTAAATCGATTTCGTCTGAGAATGCAATAAGTATTCAACATGTATCATTCTATTGAAACAAATGCATGACATAATATTAAAATTTTCAATAAAATCTGATATATAAGTCATAGTCAATGTGACATCTGAGCTATTTAAATATATTTTTTTTGTTTTTGTGCCCAAGTGATTATCAAAATCCATGTACAATATCGTAAAATCTATTTCAGAATAGAGGAAAAAAAGACAATTATAAGATTGTTAAAAGAACGATTTTTTCGTTCTTGTCTGTGTTCTCTTATAGAGAGCTGTAACAAAAAGCTTGACAGTAGTGGGATTCGAACCCACGCCACAAGTGACCAGTACCTGAAACTGGCGCCTTAAACTTCATTCGGATAACTCATAATTATTATGTCATCAGTCAATAGTCTGTAGGTGGAACAGTTGATAATAATATTAGAATATCTTAATAGACCGCTCGGCCATACTGTCACCTTGATTTAAATGAATTCACCAATTTATTCTGATATTTTGTACAATAAAATGTATTTATCTTTGCTGAAAGACTTTTCCTAAACTTTGAAATATTCTAAGCGCCTTTCGTATTAAATCATATCAGCGTTTCTCTCATTGTTCTTGTGAGTATCCGTTCATTTGGCAACCAGATTTTTCATCGAAAGTAACTGAAATTCACCGAATTCTATTAGAGTTTATGATCAGAAACCTATGAGACAAGTAAAATGTCACTCTATCCATCACTTTAGCAAATGACCACCACCGTCACACTCTCGTCCACCTGACGGGAAAAGTACTATGAAGGCCTCTTTTTTATTATTTTTTAAAGTTCCCGGGTAAACGAATATGACCGAAAACGGCCGTACTCCAAAAAATACAGTGGTTTACATGGCTCAGC